GCCATAGAAAAAAAGATTGCGATTAAAAAAACGGAAGGGCAAAACAAATATGCTGGTCATAACAACAACAAAAATCCTAACCAATGATAGTAGAGAAACCCCAAACTCTAAATTGATGCAAACTTTTTTCTATTTTTTTTTTGTTTTTTTTTTTTAATGAAATTTGTTTTTATGTATTTTTTAAGTTCTGTTTTTTTAATAAAATCAAGATAAAATTATAAACTTTGACAGGGAAAAAAGTCAACAAATTGGATTTAGAAAACGAAAATGTTTTGAATGCAGGAATTTCGGTTATTAGAAGGGTGTTAAATAAATTTTGAGTTTTGCTAGATTTAATTAAACGAATATTCGTTTTTGTGGCGTATTAATTTTAGCACCTAGAGAATGATTAAAGTATATAAAAAAAGAGTGGAAGACAGAGAGAGAGAGAGGCACAGTGTTCACAGAATTTTTTTAATTGGCTGTTAGAGATTATTTTTTCAAGGACCCAAAGGACGTGGATTTTTTAAAGAATATTTTTTCAAGGAGCCCAAGAAATGTGGATTCTTTAAGTTAAAGTTTTTCAAGGAATACAAGGACGTAGATTTTTTATAAAATCTTTATTTCTAGAATATTTTTGTAAGAAGCGAAGAACGTAGATTTTTTTAAAATAATTTTTTGCAGGGCCAAAAGGCAGTATGCCTTTTAAGGAATATTTTTTTCAAGCACCCAAATGACATGGATTTCTTAAATAATGTTTTTTTTTTTTAAAGGAGCAGAAGAACATAGACTTTTTAAAAATTATTTTTCCATGAACCCAAATAAACGTGGATTTTTTAAAGAATATTTTTTTAAATGATGAAATAAACTTGGATTTTAAAGAATATTTTATTCAAGAACTAAATAAACGTCGGGTTTTTAAAGAATATTTTTTCAAGGGATAAGTAAACGTGGCTTTTAAAAAATATATTTTTTCAAAGGACCAAATAAACGTGGATTTTTTAAAAAAATATTTTTTGGATTTTTTAAGAATATTTTTTCAAGGATTAAATAAACGTGGATATTTTTTGAAAGACGAAATACACGTGGATTTTTTAAAGAATATTTGTTCAAGGACCAAAAGACCAAGAGACGTGGATTTTAAAAGGATATTTTTTCAAGGACCAAATAAACGTGGATTTTTTAAAGAATATTTTTTCAAAGGACCAAATAAACGTGGATTTTTTAAAGAATATTTTTTCAAAGGAACAAATAAACGTGGATTTTTTAAAAAATATTTTTTCAAAGGACCAAATAAACGTGGATTTTTTTAAAAAATATTTTTTCAAAGGACCAAATAAACGTTAATTTTTTTAAAAAAATATTTTTTCAAAGGACCAAAAAAAGTGGAATTTTTAAAAAAATATTTTTTCAAAGGACCAAATAAACGTGGATTTTTTTAAAAAATATTTTTTCAAAGGACCAAATAAACGTGGATTTTTTTAAAAAATATTTTTTCAAAGGACCAAAAAAAGTGGAATTTTTAAAAAAATATTTTTTCAAAGGACCAAATAAACGTGGATTTTTTAAAAAAATATTTTTTCAATGAATAAAAAGTCCTGGATTTTTTAAAAAAATATTTTTTCAATGAGTAGAAAGACCTGGATTTTTTAAGCATATTTTTAAGGATTAAATAAACGTGGATATTTTTTAAAAGATGAAATAAAAGTGGTTTTTCTTAAAAATATTTTTTCATGGACCAACTAAACTTGGATTTTCTTAAAAATATCTTTTCAAAGGACCAAATAAACGTTGAGTTTTTAAAAAATATTTTTTCAAAGGACCAAATAAACGTTGAGTTTTTAAAAAATATTTTTTCAATGAGTAAACAGACCTGGATTTCTTGAATATAATTTTTTCAATGAGTTAAAAGACCTGGATTTTTTAAACAATGTTTTTTCAATGAGTAAAAAGACCTGGATTTTTTTAAGAATATTTTTTCAAGGATTAAAAAAACGTGGATATTTTTTGAAGGATGAAATAAACGTGGATTTTTTGAAGAATAATTTTTCAAAGGACCAAATAAATGTGGATCTTTTAAAGAATATTTTTTTCAAAGGACCAAATAAATGTGGATTTTTTAAAGAATTTTTTTTAAGAACCAAATAAACGTGGATTTTTTAAAGAATATTTTTTCAAGGACTTGCAAACGTGGATTTTTTAAAGAATATTTTTTCAAGAACCAAACAAACGTGGAATTTTTAAAGAATATTTTTTCAAGAACCAAACAAACGTGGAATTTTTAAAGAATATTTTTTCAAGAACCAAACAAACGTGGAATTTTTAAAGAATATTTTTTCAAGAACCAAACAAACGTGGAATTTTTAAAGAATATTTTTCAAGGACCAAGACCAAGAAACGTTGTTTTTTTAAAGAATATTTTTTCAAGGACCAAAAACCAAGAAACGTGGATTTTTTAAAGAATATTTTTTCAAGGACCAAAATACCAAGAAACGTGGATTTTTTAAAGAATATTTTTTCAAGGACCAAAAGACCAGGAAACGTTGATTTTTTAAAGAATATTTTTTCAAGGACCAAAAGACCAAGAAACTTCGATTTTTTAAAGAATATTTTTTCAATGACCAAAAGACCAAGAAACGTGGATTTTTTAAAAGAATATTTTTTTCAAGCACCAAAAGACCAAGAAACGTGGATATTTTAAAGAATATTTTTTTCAAAGGACCAAAAGACCAAGAAACGTGGATATTTAAAAGAATTTTTTTTCAAGGACCAAAGAAACGTGTTTTTTAAGAATATTTTATAAGGACCAAAGAAACGTTGTTTTTTTAAAGAATATTTTTTCAAGGACCAAAAACCAAGAAACGTGGATTTTTTAAAAGAATATTTTTTTCAAGCACCAAAAGACCAAGAAACGTGGATATTTTAATTTTTTTTTCAAGGTCCAAATAAACGTGGATTTTTTAAAGATTTTTTTTTCAAGGATCCAAAAGACCAGGAAACATGGATTTTTTAAAGAATATTTTTTCAAAGGACCAAAAGACCAAGAAACGTTGATTTTTTAAAGAATATTTTTTCAAGGACCAAAAGACCAAGAAACGTCGATTTTTTAAAGAATATTTTTTTCAAAGGACCAAAAGACCAAGAAACGTGGATATTTAAAAGAATTTTTTTTCAAGGACCAAAGAAACGTGTTTTTTAAGAATATTTTATAAGGACCAAAGAAACGTTGTTTTTTTAAAGAATATTTTTTCAAGGACCAAAAACCAAGAAACGTGGATTTTTTAAAAGAATATTTTTTTCAAGCACCAAAAGACCAAGAAACGTGGATATTTTAATTTTTTTTTCAAGGTCCAAATAAACGTGGATTTTTTAAAGATTTTTTTTTCAAGGATCCAAAAGACCAGGAAACATGGATTTTTTAAAGAATATTTTTTCAAAGGACCAAAAGACCAAGAAACGTTGATTTTTTAAAGAATATTTTTTCAAGGACCAAAAGACCAAGAAACGTCGATTTTTTAAAGAATATTTTTTCAATGACCAAAAGACCAAGAAACGTGGATTTTTTAAAAGAATATTTTTTTCAAGCACCAAAAGACCAAGAAACGTGGATTTTTTAAAAGAATATTTTTTTCAAGCACCAAAAGACCAAGAAACGTGGATATTTTAAAGAATATTTTTTTCAAAGGACCAAAAGACCAAGAAACGTGGATATTTAAAAGAATTTTTTTTCAAGGACCAAAGAAACGTGTTTTTTAAGAATATTTTATAAGGACCAAAGAAACGTGGTTTTTTAAAGAATATTTTTTCAAGGACTAAAAGACCAAGAAAAGTGGATTTTTTTAAAGAATAGTTTTTTAAGGATTTTTTAAAGAATATTTTTTCAAGGACCAAAAGATTAAGAAAAGTGGGTTTTTAAAGAATATTTTTTCAAGCGCCACAAGACCGAGAAACGTGAATTTTTTAAAGAATATTTTTTCAAGGACCATTGGAATTTTCTGAGTGAAGACACCCCCTTCCATCTTTGTCTAGTTTAATTTCCCATTAAAAACTCTTGGTTCTTTATTCACCTGAATTACCCTGCAACCATTAAATTAGCATCGATAATTATGTGTTTTGCAATAATCATTTGCAAAATTACATTATCGTTATTATGATTGCTGTTTGTTGTGTTTTTTTTTTTTTTTTTTTCAATAATCCTATTTATCTTAGTACAACATACCATTCTAATTACATACACCTACACACACACCCATATTTGCGTATATACATATATATGTAAATAGCAAGCTTCTATTGATCCAATTAAGGCAGTATGTTACAAAATTAAAGATAATAAAATCATTTTAATTACTTCTAATTATTGACGCAATTACAATTAAATAGCAGAAGGCAATGAGATAACAACAACAAAAAAGTTCAAACATTTATGAAAGAGAATATGCAAAAAAAAAAGACGAGGGAATACAAAATTATATTTACAAAGGATATTTATATTAATGGGAATCTGTAATTAACATGCAAATAAAATATATAATTTATTTTGCGAGAGGCCACAGAAATTAGGCCACACCTCCAATTCTCCTACGTCAGGATTTTTCATCAACAAAAAAAAAAAAATAAATAAATAAATAAAAATCCACTTCAACGCCAATTTTATACGACGTGGGCAACCCTGGGGTGACAAAGTTATTTTTTTTTATTTTATTCATTTATTTGTTCCTTTTTTTTTTCTTTATTGGAAACCCGTTAAAGAGGTTCTGAAACGAGATGATGTGATTGCAGATTCTTTTTTTGATTCTTGACCTTTTTATCGTCCTGAATTTTTTAATAGAGCTCTCTGTGTTCAGCCTAATTTAGATAAATATTTTGAAAGCCCACTATAAACAATTTTTGTCTTACCTAATATTATTTGTATTTAATTTATTTTTTATCAATTGTTTCCTCTAATTTCATTTTTTTGGAAATTATTTTCGAAAAAAAAACTAAATTTAAATTATTTCCGAATTTTGTCTTTTTTGCAGAAATAAAAACATGTTCACCCGAAGAGTTCACCTGCAAGACGGGTGAGGGTGAATGTATACCCCTGGCCTGGATGTGTGATCAGAGTAAAGATTGTTCGGATGGTTCCGATGAGGCTTCCTGCAGTAAGAATTCAAAATTGTTTCTCGTTTTTTGCCAATGCAAAATTTCAAAATTACGTTTTTATTCTCCTTTCTTGTCTGTATTGCACCCGAAACCCGATGTTTTCAAATAG